AGGTAAACATCTTTCTGGCATTCTCTACTTTCAGCCAAGATCCATGTGACATCAGCAATGATGTCCCTCATTCCACATCCTCTTCTGAATCTGGCTTGAACCTCTGGAAACTTTCTGTCAACGTATGGTTGCAGCCATTTCTATATTACCTTAATTAAAACTTTACTCATAAGGGATATCACAGATGTTGTCTGATGATTTCCACAATCCGTTGGGTCACCTCTCTTTGGAATGGGCACAAATATGGATCTCTTTCAATTATGGGACACTGGGCAAAATACTCACAACAAAGCTCAAGAAGATTTATAAGAACACAAAAATGGCTATCATCCACTTAGGTAAAATTCAAATGTCTTTCATCTAATCAGGATTCCTGGTGTGGCACTACGGGTTAATGCGCTGGACTGTAATGTCAGTTTGAATCTCAGCTTTGGCAGTTCAAGCTCACCAACTGATCCTCGGAAAGCCTATACAGGGTTGCCATGGGTCAGAACCAACTTGAAGGCACTTAATATGAACAACAACAATCATGTAATCAAAGATGATAAGGTAGGCAGAGGCAGGAAAATATAGGCCATAATGAGGGAGAGCTATGAATCAATCAAAACCAATTCAGAATTGATAGAAATACCAGAATTATTACACAAGGACTTTAAAATAGTTATTATACTGCAATCAATGACATGAAACAAAACGTGTATGAATTGCTGAATGGAAACCCAATCTGCTCTGTAAACCTTTACCAAATTCACACTAAAAAGTTTTTAAATTAAATTTAAAAAATAAAATAAAATGGTTAAGATAATTGTTACTATAGAGATTCAAAAAGTTAAGTAAAGACATGGAAGGTTTTTTTTGTTTTGTTTTTTAAGGCCCAAATCAAAATTGTATAGATACAAACTATAATGTCTGAGATGAGAGATACAATGGCTGAAATCAGTGGCTGATTAGAAAGGACAGAAAGCTCGTGAGCACGAAAGGACGGTAGTAGAAGTGGAGAGGCATCCAAAAATATCAGAAAAACAAACTCATTTGTTGGAACAAGAAGAGTCTGACTTTTCTTTCAAAGGGAGGATGGAGAGACTTCATCTCTTATGCTTTGGCCATGGTATCAGGAGGCCATTTCCTGGAGAAGGACATCATGCTTGACGAAGTAGAAAATCAGTAGGAAAGAGGAAGAACTTCAGTGAGTTGGAATGACACAGTGGCTGTGCCAAGGAGGCTCAAGGAGGCCAGTACTGAGGACGGCACAGGACCGGGCAGTTAGTACGGACTCAGCGGCACCTGACAACTATAGAGAGAGGCAGCAGGGAAGGACACAGAGAATACTTGAAAAAATAAATGATGGTCTAAAGTTTCCCAAAACTAATGAAACTTATAAACCCACAGATCCAACTTCAGTGAACCCCAACCACAAAAGTCATAAAGTACACCAAGATACTTAATGATAAAATGATAAAATTGTTGTAAACCAGTAATATAGAGAAAATTTCAAAAATAAAAATAAAATAAATGTATATGCCAAACAAAGGCAAAAATGACATTACAATGACTAAAGTGAAAAAGACTGAAAACAATAGGCACTGGTTGGCTATTTCACCACTTGTGTATAGAAGTTGCCATTGATTCACATCCCAGCCAATACTTGGGATTTTCACATTAGTAATTTTAGTGGGTGTGGTGATAATCTCTCACTTGGGATAAAAGCTCAGTGGAATAAAGCTTACGATAAAGAGACCCTGAAATTCCACTTTTAGCTATGCTTGTAACGGACTTTAATGAGGGGACAGGAAGATAAAGGGGGTGATTGCGTGGGGTTGGAAATGAAGGAAGAGGGAGGGTAGCACACAGGGTGGCAGAGCTCTAGTGTCACCTTCTGGGTAAGAAATCGACAGACAGTGCCTTAAACTGAACATCAAACACATTACTGCGGCCATTACAGTAAGTATCACATAAGCAACTAAAAGAAATCAAAAGCACTTGTCCCAGGGCATGAGAAAATTGTAGATATCAAGTTAGGGGGACTACTGTTTCTCTCACAAACCTTGTAGAAACACTCTTTGAGGCTTTAAAACAAAAGGCAGAACAAAAAATCTAAAGAAAGCAACCCCTAAGAAGTCACCATTTAGAAGCAGACCCTTCATGATGCCAAGTCTTGCCGGCTTCTTTAGCTCTGTCTACCACATACTACTCTAGGCGGGAGCTTGAACTCCAGTATTGCAAGACAACTCTGTGAGCAGAAGCTCACGCTCACTCACTTGACACAAGCTCATTTCTGGATCTTAAAATGAGTCTAACAGATGCATAATATGTGAAGAGAAACTCAACTGTAACTCTCTTCTATCTCCAACTAAAAAGCAAAGCTACAGGTTGCACTTAGGATATATAATGATTGAAACAAAACAAAACAAAAATACAAGGCAAATAGTTGCAAACAAAGATTTCCACCAGTGAACTGCAATGTAAGAACTACTGCCAAATGGCAGGTTAGTTATAGCATGGAACGATGAAGTCAAACATTTATGACATTAAAAAATAGATACTGTTTTTAAATTCTAGATACATACAATTAAGTCACTAGTGTTGTCAAGTTAAGGTGGCCCCTAATGTATAAAAATTAGAGTAAAGACAGTACAATAAAATTATGTGAAATATGCTCATTTATCAATTTCTAAATAAATCAGATTTATTTGTAACTGACATCTTAATTATCCACATTTACATCTGGAATATAACAACTTTTCTCTCTTTTAACAACCAAAGACAAATGAAATATCATGATTATACATTAGCTATGCCTCCTCAATTTCAACAACTGAAATGCCCTGTCAATTATTTAATAAGATTTCATTTTACCTTGTTTAATCTGCCCTTGTACAATATTACTGGAAGCTGAAGGGGAGCCCCTTGCCTTAGAAAGGTCTGGGGTGCTTGGTCTAGGTGGCCTTAAAAAAAAAAAAAAAAGAGAGAAGAAAAAGATATACATGTGGATACATATTCACATTTTCATATTAAATTTCCTAGTCTCAAATGAATTGCAAAAGATACAAAAACAACATTTTCAATGCATTGTTGCAAAAACTTTCCATTGATAACTCCAATATAATAAAATAATTCAACAATAAGAAAATCTTTTTACATACAATTTATGTTTCAGGTCATTTAAGAAATATTTATGAGTACTTTAATTTACTACCATTGAAAAATAATATAATTAGAATCTTTCAGTCTTCAACACTAGTATTCTAAGATTTCAGCCGTCCCCACATCGCTCACTGGTCTAAATGAATTTATGAATCAAGACAGTGAAATCTGAAAACATTCCACTCTCAAATCTGAAAAAGGGTGCTGTGTTCACTGCTACGGAACTAATTCCAACTCCAGGCGGCTCCTCGTGTGCAGAGTAGAACTGTCCCTCCACAGGTTTTCGAGCTATGACCTCTGGGAAGCACATGGTCAGGCCTGCCTTCTGAGGAACCGCTTGTTGTTGTTGTTGTTGTTAAGTGCTGCTGAGTCGATTCCAACCCATAGCTGGGTGGGTTTAAATAGCCAAACATAAGCTGGCAGGAGAGTGCTTACTCATCTGTCCACCCAGGGACTCCTTGAAAGAGACAATAAGCCATGGAGAAATGGCAGAGAGGCAGGCTAGCACTGGGGATTCAGTATATGAGGGACTCTAGAGGCCAATGGGCTCCGTTCAAATTCTGGTTCTACCACTTCCTGGTTCTATGGTCTGGGGTGAGTTCCTTGATCCTTTTTGCGTCTCTGTTTTCTTAACTGTAAAAAGGAATGATACAGCACTTTCCTTATAGGGTGAGTCTTGGTGTGGTGTTGTAGGATAGTACTGCACCACTAACCACACGGATGACAGTTCAAATCCACCAGCTGCTCCTCGGAATCATTTCACAGGCTAGCTAGGAGTTAGAGTCCACACCACAGCCCTTAACAACAACAACCCTATAGGGAGTCCTGCTGTGCTGCTGTAGGTAAGCACTTAACTACTAAGCACAAGGTCAGCAGTTCAAACCCACAGGACACCCCCCTGGAAATCTTATACAGGGTCACTATGAGTAGAAACCGACTCAACAGCACAAACAATGCTATAGGCTTAAAGGAGCCCTGGTGGCACAGTACATTAAGCACTGGGTGTTAACTGAAAGGTCATCAGTTCAAACCCATCAGCTGTTCCATGAGAGAAAGACAAGACATTCAATATACGAATGTTCCCTGTTTTATAGGGTTACTATGAGTCCTGGAGGAGTCCTGGTGTGGCGCTGTAGGCTAATGCGTCAGACTGCAAAGTCATTTGAACTGCAAGGTCGGTGGTTCAAGCTCACCAGCTGCTCCTTGGAAGCCGTATACACAGTCACTATGGGTTGGAATCAACTCGACGGCACTTAACAATAGTAACAACATGAGTCCTTGTGTGGTTCTATGGGTTAATGCACTGGACTGCACAGTCGGCTTAAACCACAAGGTCGGTGGTTTAAGCTCACCAGCTGCTCCTCAGGAACCCTATACTGGGTCACTATGAGTTGGAGCTGACTCAAAGGCACTGAAAACCAACGACAAACGAGTCAGAATCGACTTAACTGCCGTGGACTGTGCTGGATTGTATTATAGGGTTGTTGCTGTTGTTGTTAAGTGCTGCCTCATAGTGACCCTGTACAGGGCTTACAAGGAGAGGCTGGTGAGCTTGAATCACCAACATTGTGGTTCAAGCCAACTTTGTAATCCAGCACATTACCCCGCAGTGCCACACCAGCGTAAGAAAATCAGGGCTAAAGTTGTCTGGTGACTTGGGAAAAATTGTAATTCAAGCTAAGTTTATTCTGGATTTCCCAAACGGTTGGGCACATGGCTACTAATCAAAAGGTTATTGGTTGAAACCCACCCATAAGTGCCTCGGAGGAAAGTCCTGATCATCTACTTTGAAAAATTCAGTCATGAAAACCCAATGGAGTGCAATTCCACTCTGCAACACATGAGGGCACTGTGAGCTAGAACGGACTGAACCGCAACTGGTTTGGTTTGGTACAGAACATTTGCTACTCCCAGACTCTAACTATGTGGGTGTTGTGAAGTGCCATCGAGATTCTAACGATACTTTTCAGAAAATTCTGAAGCCAGTCATTGAACAGAATGAGGGACAGCATTTTAACCAAATACATTCTAAATTGGATATTAGTGGAAACTTTAAGTAGACACAATTCTAAGATAGTGTTTGCTGTTGTTGTTAAGTGTCATCGAGTCAGTTCTGACTCATAGCTGCCCTGCGTACAGTTTCGAGGGAGCAGCTGGTTGAATCTGAACCACCAATCTCTCCGTTCAAACTGACCTTGCAGTCAATTGCATATCCTTTGGCACCATACCAGGACGCTAAGATTATATTTACTCAAGTGCTAATTCACTTGCTAAAGCTTAAGTATGGCCACCTACTGTCTCACTCAAAACCTTTTTTGATAGCTACTAAAGACGTCTGGTGCTGCACTGTAGAATCAGCACTGGACTGCGAACCCCAAGGTCAATAGTTCAAACCCACCAGCTGCTTCTCGGAAACCCTATACAGTCACTGTGAGTTGAAACCAACTTGACGGCACTAAACAACAACAACAAAGCTGTCTGGAAGTCTTGGTGTGATGCTGTGGGATCAGCACTGGACTGCTAACCTGAAAGCTGGCTGTTCAAACCCACCAGCTGCTCCTCGGAAATTCTAGACAGGGTCACTGTGAGTCAGAAGCCACTCAACGGCACTAAACAACCACAATAAAGATGTCTGAGTACAGATCAAAATGTGTAATTTCATTATGTTTTAAATCACTCATACTAGAGATCTGTGTTTTAGATATAAAGGTTAAACACATTGAAATGGCACCAAGTCATAAACCCTTTATAACCAAAAAACAAAAGGTAATACACAGAGACAAAGAGAAAACCACACGAGAAGCCACACTCTCACTGTCCTACCTGGTGGGGCCCTTCTTCATGTGATCCCCAATAAAGGTGGCATTGGTCATACTCATTAAGGTGTTTGCCAGCGAGATGACAGACAGGAGGTGCTGAGTGGTGACAGCTCGGGACACTCCGTAAGTCCCCTTTCCTACTCCGTCAGCGGCTAGCAGCTTCCTTCCTATGTCTGCTTTCCCGGGCGCCAGGCTACCGGCAGCCTGACTCTGACCAGGTAGCATCAGGGACATGTGGCCTCCTCGGGACAGGAGCCCGAATGAGACTGTGCAATGGGGCTTCAGCATCCCCAGGCGGCCCAGACAGATGTCATCCAGAACCTCATTCAGACCCCAGGCATGAAGGCAGGACATGAAGAGTTTAGCTGTGTCCATAGTCAAGTTAGACTCTAAAAGGGTCAGCGGCTTTGACCTGCTGGCCCGATACTCAGGGTCACTTTCTCCCCTTCGCTGCCTCATTAGCTCCTCATCATCCTCTTCATCATCAAGGAGGTGCTCCTTGATGTTCTCTTTGATCGTTTCTTTCACTTGTTGGAAGAGGACGGCTGCTCGTTTTCCAGTGAGAAAGGAGCCTCCTTTGTCGGCACTGCCAGGTGCTTTGTGCAGATTCTCTGGGGAAATAAGTGTAGTGTTCGGCCGAGAGGCTTCTTCCGTCAGGAGCTGAATAATCAACGCTTCCACGTCAAAGAAGAGCACATGGATGTCTGGGTCTGTTAGGTTTGTCTTTATTGCTTGAACCATCAGGGAGTTATGAGAATATTTAGGTAAATTCCCCTGCAATAGACAGTTTTAAAAGATGGTTATAATTACAACTTTTTACTATCATGCATTCAATAATGAACAACAAACCGCCAGAGTTGTAAAGATGCTTTTTCAGCTGACCTTTTAGGGATCTGTATCATGTGTGGCAGAGTGCTGGTATGGCGCTGAGTTAATGTGCTGGACTGCAATGTTGGTTTGAACCACAAGGCCGGTGGTTCAAACTCACCAGCTGCTCCTTGGAAACCCTATACAGGGTCACTATGGGTCAGAACCGACTCCACAGCACTTAACAACAACATCATGTGTGGCATTGTACGATAAGCATTGGACTGTGAACCACAAGGTCAGCAGTTCAAACCTACCAGCTGCTGCTCAGAAACCTTATACAGGGTTGTTACAAGTCAGAATCAACTCAACGGCACTTGAAAACAATAATCATTAAACGTAATTATATATTACACATTGTTGTCATTAAGTGCTGTCGAGTCGACTGTGAATCATAGCGACCCCGTATAGGATTTCTGAGGAGCAGCTGGTGGGTTTGAACCACCAACCTTAAGGTTAGCTGTCCAGTCTAAAGCTTTGTATCCTTGGTAGCCCTGTGGGGTAGTCCTACTTAGGGTCACAATCGACTCGAGGGCAGTGGGTTTTGGTTTTTTATCTTTTTTAATCTCCCCCTTCCCTGTACTCCGCTGTTCTACTGAATCATCAATTTGCATTGTCAGGGTTGTGTGTGCTACAAATTTGAGCACCATCCTTGACTCCCAGCCCCTGACCACTCTCCTACTGTGAATTCCAAGTCTGTACTCTCAAGCGCCATCATTTCCCAGCTGGTAAGTCTCTGGAGGCGTCCCTTTCCTACCATCACCACTGCACTCCCTAAACTCTGACCTCTATGCTCTGTCTCCTTTGACACCACGCTGACCCCCACAGAGCAAAATCCAGTCATGTCACTCTTTTGTCACAAATGTTATTTACAGAGAGGAAAAGCACAAAATGACTAACACGGAATCAAAATATAAGTGAATATCTGATTTTGAGATGCGATAAGCAAGCGTTGAAGCATGCTTACATTTAGACTGTTTTTAAAAGCATGTTAAAAGTCAAGTAAGAAATAGAAATTAAATGTGCCAGGAATAGGACTGATGAACAGTTACAACCTATATAAATACTTCTTAAATCAAGAAAAATACTAATGCTCAAATAAAAGGGGTCAAAAGTATAAAGGTCAAGAATAATTCACAGTAAAATAAATATAAGTAGTAAATGAATATGCAGACAAATATGTTCAGATGAATTCTCAAAGAAACAATCAGCTCAAGATGCCACTTGGGGCTTATAAAATTTGAAAGCAAGTAAACACTGAAAAACCAAAATGAACCCAAAAGCCCAACAGTCAAGTGCTCAGCTGCTAACAGGAAAGACTGGTGCGCGAAACCCAACCAGAGGTTCTGAGGGAGAAAGACCAGGCAATCAGCTCCCATAAAGATTGTTGTTGCTAGCTATCATAGCGGCCCTGTCCAAGGAGCGGCTGGTGACTTCGAACTGTCAACCTTGTGGTCCAGGCCTAGTGCTTATCCTACAGCGCCACACCAGGACTCCTATAAAGATCACAACCTACAAAACCCTGTGGGGCAGTTCTAGTCTGTCATGTGGGGTCACTATGAGTCAAAAATCGACAGTAAGAAAAACGCATTGTTAGCCCAAGAGCCCAGTGAGAGTCAAACCCACGTTCTGCAGGAGTAAACTCACAGAGCAGCCGTTCTGATGAATAATATAGCAACAGAACATGAGCCTTTATGATTTATGTCATTCGAACCAACACATTTGTTTCAAGAACCCTCTCCTAAATAATCACTTTATAGACAAGTATTTGTAGACAAAAATGTTATGTGTACTGTGGATATTCATTAGCTACATGCTCAAATTTCTGATATAAGTAATTCTCAAAGAGAGCACTGAGTGGCTACTAATTTGCTACCCCTGCTAGAGAGTAAGATCCCCTAAGAACTTGATTGAACCTCAATATAGTGATCCTGCTTGGTCACCTTAAAGCAGGTGGTGGGCTGGCAATGTCTTGCGTATGGGGTCCCCAGCCGATCTCCTCCCTCCCTGCCTTCCTCGGATGGCGGCTGTTTATGCTGGACGTGTGGCCAGAGACGGGTAAGGATCACGTGGAACCTCGGCAACCTAAGACAGAGCCATTGCCATGCTGCAATGAGTTTCGATGACAGGTAAGATTGAGGAATTCACACTGACCGCCTAAGACAAACGTCCTTAAACAAACAATAAATAAGGAGGATTCGGATGCAGACCGTGCAGACCTGGTCAGGAGGTCAAGACCCTGTGGACCCAAGCATTGTTGACCGTCTAAACCATAGGACCTGAGGATCAGACTTTAGCCACTTAGTAGACATAGCAAACTGTCCCTCATCTGATTATTCAGTAATGCATGTTAGTAATCTCATACATGAGCCCTGGATATCCACAGACAAATGTAAAAACCTTCCCTAAAAGCCGAGACTGTAAATTCCAAAAAGGCAAGTCCCCCCCCCACAAAAAAAAGCTAAAGAGGATAGAGAGAAACACTGTTAACTGATGATATATCAAGCTATATGAATGGTTGAATGTGAAGCTGATGATGTGCCCTGTAAACTTTCACTCAATCCAAAATAAAAACATTTAATAAAAATAAAAAAAAAAATGTTATGTGTAACATCATCTATTATTTCAAATATTTAACAATAAGGACATAAGTAAACAGTTTAAGCATATTCATAGTTGTTTAGTGCCACGGAGTCAGTTGTTAAGTGCTGTTGAGTCGGTTCCAACTCATAGCAACCTTGTATAGGATTTCTGAAGCTGAAAATCTTTGTGGGAACAGAAAGAGCGAATGAATGCTGGTTGTTGTTGTTAGGTGCCATCATGTTGGTGCCAACTCACAGCAGAACGAAACACTGCCTGATCCTGGGCCAACCTCCCTACTGTTGGCCCAGGATCAGGCAGTGTTTCGTTCTGCTTGAGTCCATCGATACTGCCACTTGGCCAATCCATCTCATTGGGGGCCTTCCCCTTTTTCTCTGACCCTCCACCTGACCAACATGATATCCTTCTCTAGTGACTGGTTCCTCCTGACAATATGTCTGAAGTATGAGAGACAAAGTTTGGCCATCTTGGCCTCCAGGGAGCACTCTGGCTGTACTTCTTCCAAAACTTCCTCCTCAAACGGAATTATTGGTTCTTTTGGCAGTCCATGGCACTTTCAATATTCTCCTCCAACAATCTTTAAAAATCATGATTTCTAAATACACGTAACCACATGTAAAATGCCATGTTCCAATCATTAGGCAGGCTGAAAAAAGACACATACACACAAAGAACAGGGCACCAAATTCTTTTAATGCTTAAGTGTATATAGGAATGTGGGAAGAAAAGGCTGTGAAGAAATTAACAAAAATGTTAATAACAATAGAATTTTTGTGCTGAATAATGGAAGACTCTTTTCTTCATTTAAAAAATATATATATTTTGTAAACTGCATATAATTAATAGACAAGGGGCTTCAAAAAGGTCATGGGAAAATGGAATTAAAAGATAAATGGAATTTTTCCACCTAACTTTGTGAAAATCCCTAATATACTATGTCCATGATTAGAAAATAAAGCTCGAGAATACAATGCAAACTCCTTCAAGACCCCTCACAAAACGATTTCTTCAGCCTTCACCAAATGCCTGTTTCTAACCATCATGAGCCATATAGTCTTCAATGTATCAATACTTTTATTCATGTTACTGCCTTGGCCCAAAGTTGTTGCCATTGTTGTTACATGCCATCAGGTCAATTCTGACTCACAGTGACCCATGTTCAAAAGGAGACCTGTCCCAGTGACATTTTCTAGCCACTAATGTTTAGAGAAGCAGACCAGCAGGTCGGTCTCCCATAGCCCCTGGGTTGGTTCGAATAACCAATCAGCCTTCTACTTAGCTTAACCAATTGTGTCACCAGAGCACCTTTGGCCAAAACAGTTCTCTTTATAGTCTATTGTATCTCTGTCTTGTCCATCAAGACCTTCATTCTCCCCAGGAAAGCTGAGTCCAAAGTATATTTATTTTGATCTACTGTATATGCCATATTTGTATGCCTTTGTTATATTTATATAAAAAGTTGCTTCATGTATTTACATTTTCTATGGGACCATGTCTGACTCTGTAATCTTAAACCTAGCAGAATAACAGCATACAATCTTTATTATAAAATTATTTTTTAATTGATTATCAACTCTTCTGTCATATAAAATTACAGTCAAGTTTCCTCAACTGATCTTTCTTCTGTCTCAATTATCCTCCCATCTGACTAGGCTTCTTTCTAGCTTAACAGACTTGGATGGCATTTCATAACTCAAGGATAAGATCCAGATGTGTCTGCAAATTACAAAGAATCCTCCAGCACATACTGCTGCCTACTTGGTCCAACTTCAGCTCCAGCCACATCCCGCTCCATCTTCTACTACAAGCAAATTACAGCACTGGGCTCTGCAGAAGCAGGCAGTTTGGAGCACTTGTCCCTTTGCATACACGTCCTCAGGACTCCCCCTCTTGTCACTCAAGTCACTCTTTTACCCATCCTTCAAAAAAGCATCTCAAGTAGCTCCTCTTCCAAAAAGTCATTCCTACGCATACCTGATCATTGCCTGCTTTGTGTAAACTTTTCATCTGGATTAAATGAACGATATTTACAAGAAGGTAGAGAATAAACACTCTAAGCTACACTTAGGGAAGCTATGCACATAAGGACCATGATAAACTGACGCTACACACAATCTGAATCAAATAAATATATGTATATGTCACACATATACATATCACATATATACACACATATGTATATCACATATAAATACATACGTGGGAGTGTGGTGACTCCAGACGATAAGCAGCCCACCAGTAGCTAACTCCACAGGAGAAAGAAGAGCCTTTCTGCTGCACAGAGATTGAAAGCCTAGGGCGCCCAT